TCTGTTTTTTCTTTTTTATTGAATTTATTGGGGTGACATTGGTTAATAAAATTTCATAGATTTCAGGTGTGCAGTTCAGTAATACATCATCTGTATATTGTATTGTGTGTTCACCACCCCAAATCAAATCTCCTTCCATCATCATTTATACCTATACCCTCTTCTGCCTCCCCTCAACCCCCAAAATTTCTCTTTTTCTCCTGTATTTTCTCCATTCAGACCAACCATATCCATTTTGGGTTGAAACGTGTGTCCTTTTTCTCTGTGTCTTTGAATAACTACACCATAAGATTTCCTTTGTATTTTCCTGAAGCTTTGTGAATTATTAACCAAGGAAAGAAAAGCTAAAGTAGAAAGTGTTTACAAAAAATTTTTTTAAAAACCTGCCAGGAATAACCATTTAGAGCATACAAGTGTTGCCTTTTCACTAGACCAGAAATACCAGTTCAGACATGTTGGAGAGTCCAAATTTGTAGAAAGTGCTCTAGTGGTTTGAGGTAGGGAGAAACATTGAACTAAGTTCCACAAGAGCAGTTCCACCAGTGAGGCACTGTGCCTGCCGCTTAGGGAAGTTTTGCAGAACTAGAATGTGATCACTGACACATGCGGGGGAAAAATCTGTCATCTCCTCTGTTAGATTTGGCCCCTGAGTATACCTCTTCTGGGTGAGAGGGGAAAATTAACAAATATCCACATATTCCCTGACTTTCATGTGGTCATCTGACATGTGCACTTTGCTCTCTTGAAGGTTACCTTGAATTAATAGTTGTGTTTTGGCCACTGTCTACATATGTGTGTTGCCTGTAGTGTGCTCATCCAGACCCAGGGTGAAGCCAAGTAGTGACGGAATGGCCCAGTCTTGCAGGAGGTGGGGGCAGTTTATCAGGACTTTGGATAGGAGTGGAGAGTCAGCGTTTAGTCTGAAATGTTTTCGGCCATGGTTTTTCCTGGTTGAATTTTATTGTTTTTATAATGTCTCTTGGTTTACTTGAATATTTCAGGTTTGTTTCTGCTTATACTTTTAAAAACAGTAACATCATGGCTCATCTGCAAGAACAAACATGTCCTGTGACTGTCACAATCAAACAGGATGATGATAACTTTGAAAGTGACTTTCTAGAAAAAAAGGTGCAACATCACCTCCCTTGCTTGTTCTGCCCCCTCTTTAAGGTTAATACTTTATTACTTGGTGAGCTGGCCCATTGTCCAGCCTTCTGAGGTCTGCTGCCTGATAGGATCTTCACCATGGCCGTTTTTATTTTATTTGACAATGTTGGTTTTTCGTATTTTCTAAGTGAAATTACAAAGTCTCTGAGTAAAGTAAAAGGACACTGCCCTCTCTCCCCCTCCCACCCCCCGTTTCTTTCAGCTTTGGCTCCATCTTGTGCCAAATGTACTTGAATTCCCTCTACCCCCCAACACCCTGAGGAGCAAAAAAGCCTGAGCGATGCCTGCTGGAGGTGAAATGGGGGAAAGTGGTTGGGACCCAGGCAGCTAGGAAGCAGAGGAATTATGTCTGGCCTAGCCAGGATGATCTAGATCAGAGGTTAAAAGGAACAAAGTAAAAATCACTTGTGTTGTTCCAGTGGGACTGTCAGAAAACAGGAGCCAAAACACAAGTGGCAGGTTTGCCAGCCTTGCAGAGGATGTACAGTCAGTGGCCACCCAGCCTGCCTTCAGCTGCTGCTCCTCAGGGGTTCCTGTCTCAAAGCAGTTCCATTTCATCACCAGCTCCACCTGGAATCTGAGATTTATTTTCTCAGTTTCTGTGTCAGGGTTCCCCACCAACACCCCTCCCCCCAGGTTTGGTGATTTACTAGAAGAGCTCACAGTACTGAGCCTATACAGCCTGCCCTCCATATCTGCTGGTTGTGCACTTGCAGATTTAACCAACCGCAGAGCAAAAATATTCAGAAAGCCTGGCCAGCATGGCTTAGTGGTTGAACATCGACCTATGATCCAGGAGATCAAGGTTCAATTCCTGGTCAGGGCACATGCTTGGGTTTCGGGATCCATCCTCAGTAGAGGGTGTGCAGGAGGCAGCCGATCAATGACTTTCTCATCATTGATGTTTCTATCTCTCCCTCTCCCTTCCTCCCTCTCTGAAATCAATTTAAAGAAAAATTTTCAGGAAAAAAAAAAAATCCAGAATATGATCCCTAAATAATACAGTATAACAACTATTTACATAGCCTTTTAATTGTATTAGGTATTATAAGTAATCCAGAGAGAATTTAAAGTATACCGGAGGGTATGTATAGGTTCTATGCAAATGCTACGTCATTTTATATGAGAGACTTCAGCATCTGTGCATTTTGGTAGACACAGGGGGTCCTGGAACCAATCCTCTCATGGATACCAGAGACCCAGGGATGACTGTAGTTGCTCATCGCTATAATTTGTTACAGCAAAAGGATACAAAGCAAAATCAGCAAAGGGAAAAGGCGCATGGGATAAAGTCTGGAGGTGACCAGGCTCACGCTTCCAGAGTCCTCTTCCAGTGGAGTCACACAGGACACAAGTTTTCCAGCAACAAGTTGTGACAGCATGTGTGAAATGTCACCAGGGGCATTCATTAGAGACCCAGAGCCCAGGGTTTTTATTGGGGCTGGTCACATAGGCATCCTCTGCTTAACAAACACCAGAATTCCTAGCCCAGAAAGAAAGCAGTGTTCAGCATAAACCATGTTTCAGAGCATCCAGGTGCAGCAAGCCCTTCTTATCAGGGAATGGTGGGAGCCCTCTCCAAGTTTGAGTTTCCGGATGCCAGCCAAGGGCGTGGACAGTCTCAGGCCTGCTGTGTTGTCTTTTCTGCAGTTTCTAAAGTTGCTCTTACTTTTTACTTTGAATTTATTGGATTGGAGGTCCACATTTGTGTCCAGTGATTAGGTGTTGGCTAGATGGAGCTTGCTGTCATTGCTTAGGGAAAACCATGGTCTGGATCCATGAGTGTTTTGCTTTCTGGACATGGTTTTACTTTGACGGTGCTGCCTGCCTGCCTGCCTGCAGCCTAGGCTTCTGCCCAGAGAGCAAGTAGCCTGCCTGCCTCTAACCTTTCATCTAGATGACTCATTCACCCTCTTGCCTTGCTGGGGTTATCAGACTGTCTGGTACTGGCAGCGCTTCCTTTTCTTGGTTCCTAGGTGGGCTTGGAGGCATTGGCATGTCAATACTGATACTGTCTTCAGGCCCCACAGGCACAGACTTGCAGCTTTCTGGGGAGAAGCGGGGGTGGGAAGGTAGTGGGGGAATTGTAATTAACTTCCATTGAAAACCTGTCTTACCATTTTTAAAAGTATTCTTTAGAAATCTGTTTTTGGCATTTGAACCTCTTTGCCTTTGAGTTTTGCTCTTCTGTTTCTTTCTTTTTTTCCTTTTTGGTGTTTTCTTTGAGTTTTAGTTGCCTGTTTTCACACATCTCACATCTGATAATGGTTTAGAATTACATACAGTTGACCCTTAAACAATGTGGGGGTTAGAGTCACTGACTCTCACCCCTGGCATAGAGATCCATGTATAACTTTGACTCCCCAAAACTTGACTACCAATAGCCCACTGTTGACTGGCAGCCTGACCAATAACATAAACAGTCGATTGACACATATTTTGTATATTATATACTGTATTATTACAATAAATAAACTATAGAAAAGTGTTATTAAGAAAGTCATAAGGAAGAGAAAATACATTTGCAGTATTTATTGAGAAAAATCGACATATAAAGTAGACCTGGGCATTTATTTATTTATTTATGTATTTATTTATTTAAATCCTCACCCAAGGATGTTTTTTCCATTGCTTTTCAGAGAGAGTGGAAGGGGGCGGGGGGTGGGGTGGAGAGAAAGATAGAGAGAGAAACATCGATGTAAGAGAGAGACATCGATTGGTTGCCTCCCAGACCCACACCAAATAGGACTGGGGATGGATCGTGCAACCAAGGTATGTGGCCTTGGCTGGAACTGAATCTGGGACCCTTCAGTCCATGGGCCAGTGCTCTAACCACTGAGCCAAACCTGCTAGGGCACCTGCGCAGTTTAAACCTGTGTGTTCAAGGGCCAGCTGTACTTTTACTGTCACCTCTGGGCAGGTTCATTCTTGCTGACCTGCCCCTCTCCTAGGCAGTCTTGGTGCCTCACTCTCTGAGCAGTGGTTCTGCAGGGCTTCTCTCTGTGTCATTCATGTTTGCATTAGGTCACATGTGTCCTCTTACTTATGACTTGAACTAATTCACTTACAACACCTGCCTCTAATGTGACCAGATCTGTTTTTAGCCACACCAACTATTCCACAGACTTGGCCAAAGCTATGAGCAAACTATAATGACAGGGACTGTGGCTAAACTAAGCTGGTTACATTCAAACTTGTGGCAGCTTCACTAAAGTGCCCTCAGGATTCCTCTAGGGTGGGCATGGGGAAGGGAGGGGAATTGACCTCCTAAGTGGGAGTGTTGTCACTAAATATCCCTTGGGGACAAGAGTCTTTTTGCACCGTTATTAGGGTTTAAAGTCTTACCTCTTGGTGATTTAAGGACTGCAGAAGAGAAGCCTGGAAGCCTACACTGCACCCGGCACTGCACTGGAGCACTGCACCAGGCCTCTAGCTCTGAGGAGGGTTGGCAGTTGAACCGGCATCGAGCACTTGGAATATGGCTAGTGCAGCTGAGGAACTAAATTTTTAAAACAAATTTTTTTCAGTTACAGTTTACATTCAATATTATTTTGTGTTAGTTTCAGATATACAGCATAGTGGTTAGACAATCATATACTTTAGAGGAACTAAATTTTTAATTTTAGTTAATTTCAATTAATTTTAGCAGCAACATGTCACTAGTGGCTTTCATGTTGTACAGGGCAGTGCAGGAAGCAGTTGTAATGTGGACTTTGGAATTCTGATTTAGACCACGGGTTTTGAGAATTGGTCATCATTCACATAAAGGGTTTTAACTTTTATATTGTCTTTTTTTTTCTCTAAACAAAATTATTATTATTTTTTTGCTTTAGGTCGCTGCAGCAACTGGCCACACAGTAGTGTTGGTGGACCAGGCAGATGACATCCTGGCAAAATCCAAAAAGGGAATTGAGGAAAGCCTTAAGAAAATAGCCAAGAAGAAGTTTGCAGAAAACCCCAAGGTAATTTCTTGTCTCAGTGTGTCCTCAAGACCAGTCCTCTGACCACTTCACATTCTTGGGGGGAGGGGGTACTGGGCTTTGCTTACTTTTTCAGTTTGTTTATATAAAATGCATTTCTCCATAACTTTAGACCAAAATAATAACATTAACACTAAACATACAGGAGAGACTGGTTAGAAAACAAGAGAAGTAAATAACCACATTGTTGGGTAGGATTTAAGGTTGAGGAGAAAGTTTCTGCAGGTAATGAACTCATTCTGTCCACAGAGAGTTTGGGATGGAATGACACCTATTTTGTTAGAAGGATGGATGAGGGAGAAATAGGAAGATAATTTTTGTACTTGCAAGTTAAAAAGAGAATAATACCATAAATGCTGTATTTAGATAGAAACTTTCAATTGCTTAGGTAACATCTATGCCTGTTACTGGTGCACTTGCTAGAGAGGAAAATGCAGAGTGAGTCATTGTCACTTTCCAGCAGTAGAAGAGGTGCGAGAACTTCAACTCCTGGAAAGTCGGAAGCTCTGGTTTACTGACTCCTTTGCATTGGACCTTCACAAATAATTAGAAGTACTGTAAGTCACCCCAGTGAATTTTTGCTTACCTTTGTCACCTTGTTAAAATTGCTTGAGATTGATTTCCTTGAGGCTTGAATGGAAATTCTCCATATATAGGCAGAGAAGAGTGCAGGTGGGGTTTTTGTTGTATCCACAGGGATATATCTAGGTCCCTTTAAAAATCTGTTTATAGCCCTGGCTGGGTGGCTTAGTTGGTTGGAGCATCGTCCCCTACACCAAAAAAGGTTGCAGGTTTGGTTTCCTGTCAGGGCAAGTACCTAGATTGCGGGTTTCATCCCTGTTTGGGAGGCAATTGATTGATTTCTGTCTCACATCCATGTTTCTCTCTCTCCACTCCTCCTTTCCTCGGGTAAGGATTAAAAGAAAAGTTTTTTATTGTGGTAAAATATATATATAAGATAAAATTTGCCATTTTAACCATTTTAACTCAGTGACTTTGATTACATTCACACTGTTGTACAACCATTACTGCTGTTTGTGAAACTTTTTCATCTGTCTAAACAAAAACTGTACCCATTAAACAATAATTCCCTGTTCCCTTCTCCCCCCAGTCCCTCTTAACCTTTAACCTTTCTGTCTCTCTGAATTTGCCTATTCTAGGGACCTCATTCATATAAGTGAAAGTGTACAATATTTGTCTTTTTTTGACTGATTTCTTTCATTTAGTATAATTCTTCAGGGCTCACCCATGAACTTCATTCCTTTTTATGACTGAATAATATTCCATTATATGTGTATACCACATTTTGTTTATCCATCTGTCAGTGGATACTTGGTTATTTTCACCTTTTGGCTATTATAAATAATGCTACAGTGAACAGAAGTCCCTCTTTTAGTCCTTTTAGGGCTATGTGGCAGTCCTATGTGTTGTTTTTCGAGGAACCACCCAGCTGGTTTCCACAGTGGCTGCACTATTTTACATTTCCACCGACAGTGTGGAGGTTCCAGGTACTCTACATCCTGGCCAGCACTTGTTACTTTCCTTTTTTTTTAATCCATAAAAGCCATCATTGGAGGTATACAAGTGGTATCTCATGTTTTGGGTTTGCAGTTTCTTAATATCTAATCACATTTTAAAAATCAGAGGGACAGGGGTGGATATAGTTTCAGAGTGAGTCTGAACCCAGATAACCTGCATTTTTCACTTGTTTACTCTGCAGACTTCTGCAGTCTGTCCCCCGTAGGTAGAGACTTTGGCCCCGTCCTGCTTGTGAATAGATGCCCCTGTGCCCAAGTGACTGAGCTCCTGAAGAGTCACTCCTCAGGAGTCCAGTCTCGTGAAGTTTCTCACCTCTGCCAGGGACATGCTCTGAGGAGGGATGTGTCATCTTCAGCCTGTCTGGTTGGCGTACTGTATTGACCTAGCTCTGTGCTGACCAGTACAGTGGCATTAACTACAAGTGGCTCTCAAGCACTTGGCATGTGGCTGGTCCAAATTGAGTTATGCTGAAAGTGTAAAACACTTTGAAACAGATTTCAAAGACTCAGTAGAAAAAGAAAGAATATAAAAGTTTAAATTTTAAAAGTATTGATTACATTTGAAATGATAGTATCTTAGATATATTGGATTCAATAAAAATTTTGCCTGTTTTCGGTTTATAAAAAGCAGCCAATAGAAATTTTAAAATTACCTGCCCTCTCACATTATGTTTCTGTTGAACAGTTCGGATAGTTGGTTCTTCATGAGGATTTGGGAGCCTTTGCTGATTATGACCATTTTGATGCCCAGGGGCAAATTACATCTTGAAACCAAATGGCAAATGATAAAGGAACTGTCTGTTCCTGCCCTGAGGTCTGTGTATGGAAACCTGGAGTCAAAGTGAGAAAACATGGGACTTGAAGCTCTTTGAGCAGAGGCCTTATCTGGCATGTTTTGAAACACCAGTTGCTGGCCCATGATGGACGATTATCATTTGATGAATGACTGCTGAGTTTGGCTTTCTTACCCTCTCTATTGCCCTTACTCAGCTCTTCCCTACCTCCTGTGAGAAGGGAATAGTCAGTACCACCTCCCAGACTAATGGATGGTCCTGAGCTAAGCTTTCATCCTTTCTTGGAAGGACAGATTACAGGCTCCGTGGGCCAGACCAGGGCAACCTGTCACTCTGGGAACATACAGCAGGCCAGTACTGGTGCTGTGAACATACAGCTTAGTCACCGGAGCAGAGCTGGCTAAAAGCTTGGAAGATTACGATCTATACACAACAGTGATAGTTGACCAACAGTTGCAGTTGTTCACAAGCTGAATTCCTGCTGTGGTGTCTAACATGAGTGGAGATGCTGTTGTCCCTAAGCAGGAGCATAGGGAGTTCTATTTCTCAGAACCTTAGGGTGCATTCAAGTCGTGTCTGGGTGTGCAGGCCTGTTCTCACCCTCCTCTTTCCTTCGCCTTAGCAGCCAATCACACACTGTTTTCTGGTGAGCTCACTGAATGTTCTCCTTTCTTCCCCTGCAATAGGCAGGCAGTGAGTTTGTGGAGAAGACTCTGAGCAACATATCGACCAACTCAGACGCGGCGTCTGTAGTCCACAGCACAGATCTGGTGGTGGAAGCCATTGTGGAGAATCTGAAGGTGAAGAATGAGCTCTTCAAGAGGCTGGACAAGTTTGCCCCCGAGTACGTGGCCCCTGACATTCTTGTTGGGTCTAAGGGCTCCCTCTCCGACTTCAGGCTTTGCTCCCAGGAAGGTGGTTTCTGACATTAGGCCCACTTCCCCTTCTATAGCCCACTACTATTTCCCACGTTCTCCATCTACCACTCCCAGTTTGCCTCCTGAGGCTTTGGCTGCTCTGATCTGATTCTGGTCCCCAGACAAGGGTGGAATTTCCTGTGGTAAATGGAGGGCCCATCCAGGGCCAGGCCTCTGTCTCTTGCAGCATCGGGGTCATGGGCCCTCCCAGGCCAGAGGGTGGAGGAGGCTTGGTCATGACCTTTAGCATTTGCTGAGGAACCTCAGAGCAGTTTCATGTGCCTCCCTTATTTGAGTGGAACAAACAGAATGGTGTACATGAAGGAGATGCCTCTGTCTACACGAAGTTCCCCAGAACTCTCCTCTTTTGAGCTTTATCTGTGTTAAATCGAAAGCCTTGTGAGCATTAAATTCTAACCAGGCTTCTGGCAAAGGGTGGGAGACGACAGCCAGCCCCATGCTGGTCAGGCATGTGGGTACCTGGGGCTCAGGGTTCTGTGCACGGTCAGCAAGCTCGTGCACACATGCAGCTCACGTTCTCAGAATCTGGTGCCCACTGTTTTGCTTGACTTGGCTTTTGGTGACTGTAACACCTGACTGACTCATTCATGTTGTTCTTGGTTGGAACTGAAAGTCAGAATAAGATTATATGACAAAAGTAATTCTTAGGCAGCCACCAGTGAGCAGTAGCTAGAGACCCTTGCATACCAGCACTCATGGACTTTGATCCACCACAGTCCCCACCACCCTCTATTGTCTCTTCCACACTAAAGGCCTGCAGGCATTGCTAATGATCATTAGGCTTGTGCTGTTGGTTTTTTATTAGTACATTCAAGAGAAAAGAAGGTTTTTTTGGTACCCGAGTGTCAAAGGGAGAAACAAAAGATAGCCCAAGAAGTCAAGTGTTTCAAGGAAAATGTGTGGGTGCACTTCTGTGGAAGGTAAGACAACCCTGTGTATTTAATAAGTCAGCACATTGTGTTTGTGTTGGAAGAAGGCATGTGAGATGCTGTTAGGAGCACAGCCAGCTCCATCAATTGGGAGAAGGGTATGTAGAGGTCCCTTGGAAGGAGACATTTTCCCCTCCTGGTAAAATGTGTGCTGGGAGTGCCCTAGGTTGGGGACACTTGGGACGGGGCTCTGTTGTGACTTCATCCTTTCACAAAACATGCTCTGCAGTCAGTGCATCTTCATTCCCCCTTTTTGCAAGTGGGTTGCCCTTCAGATGTCCTGTAATACCAGTGTCACAGCCCCTACTTGTGCCTGCTGCTGTGGCTCAGGGTGTGTGGTTTGTGGCAGCCACACTCACTGTTTTTGCAGAGGATTTCTTCTCTTTACCTTCTGTAGTGGGCAGTGGTTTATATTAGTTCCTCCACTGACCAAAAAGCAAGAAGCTTTGAAAACTAGAATTTTAAAACTTTAAAAATGTCATTTAAAAAAAAGAAAAGAAAACCCCTACCTGGATTTTAAATGGGCTAACTTGGGAGTTGTTTGAGAAAGGTGGGTGCTATAGTGTCTTAAAAGTGAAGCGCTCTCCTGAGCTGAGGACACGAAGGATCTTCCCTTTGGCTCTTGGCCAGCCACCCTACCACACTGGCTTCTCCTTTCACCTCACTCTTCTCTCCTCCTTACAAATTACCTGTTTCTTCTCCTGTCTCCTCTGCTCCTCCTCCCACTTGCCCCTGATTTTTTGGTAAGTGAGAACCCCCAAATCTGGTCAGTAAGGGATTGCTCTCCTTCCTGTACTGTGACCAGGCCTTTATGGTTCTAATTAGCATTAGGGTGTTTTGCATATACTTATCCACAAGGTGGTGCCATAGGAAAGCCTGGAAGTCTTGCCTGTTTAAAGATGTGCCTGTCGTTCATTTGGCACCCCACTTTATTGGGGTCTTAAAAATTAAATTTGGTCTAAGTCAGTATGTATATTTTTAAACTAGTTTTGTTTTATGAAGGAAGATGGTACTGCTTTTTTAGGAACAGAATACCTTGAACTACATTTCTCATGTATATACATGTATCTTTTCTTCCCCAGTTCTCCTTGTGTAACCTTGTGGAACTGCTTTTGGACAAGGCAGTTTTCTTCTCTTTTCATTTGAATTCCTATTCAATGAGGAAGTAAAGCTTTTCACCTGAGGGGAAAAGATTTCATCCATGTTTCTTATCTGATGGTTTTAGTTGAGAATTCAGGCGTTTCTTTACAATTTTTTGTTTGGGTGTCTGTGATGCATCTGTCTTTCTTTCATTAGTCTTTGATCCCTTAGAGTTTTATTTTGTGATTGAGGCTGGTTAAGTAGTTGCCTCCTTTTTTCTCTCACATACCATGAAAATTAACTAGTACAAGTAGAGAGGAGAAATTTTCTCCCTATAATTAAGGAAAGGTTACCAAATAATATGCCTTTGCAACAGGTAACTTTTAAATTAATATAAAATTTTAAAATTAAATGAACCAGGCCACTTGATTTCAGCTTCTTGTATGAAGAAGTGTCTTTTCTCTGATTTCCTCCGGGGTCAGGACAGCAGATCTGGGCAGGAAGCATTGTCTTGTGTGTTGAACCCCAGAGTAGGCCTGACTGTTCCCAAAGATGGGACTCATTCCGATAATCCACCATCTTTCTCTCCACAGACATACAATCTTTGCCAGCAACACTTCCTCTTTGCAGATCACTAGCATAGCCAATGCCACCACCAGACAGGACCGCTTTGCCGGGCTGCACTTCTTCAATCCAGTGCCCATGATGAAGCTCGTGGAGGTCAGTGTGTGTCTGCTTGCTTTGTAGCTCTCGGCTTTGTTCCTCTGATTCACACCCGCCCTGCCACCAGGGATTGCACTGTACGGATTTTAATGGAGGGTAGGGTGGGGGGAGGTTGTTGTACTGTGCTTCTCTGGCCATAGTCTACCCTTTCAGAGCCAAAGGAAGGTCTCTGTGCTCCGTGTCTTCACAGCCCTGTGTTCTGACCCGTGATGTCCAGGAGGTTTGTTAACTTTGTGGAATGTCAGTTACTTGTTTGTGCCATAGCTGGTGGGCAGTGTGGAGAGAGGCATCTGACTGGGGAGGGAGCACTAAAGACTACTGGCTTGATGAGACTCAGGGGAGAGCTACACGTGTTCAAATGGTCTTGTTGAGGTCAGTTTGCTCCAGGCTGTAAGTGGAATTCTTATTAGATGGCCTGGTTTCACACAAGATCCACTATCACCACCTCATCCACAGTTCCTGGGCTGAATTTGGCCCCATTTAATAGGGCCTCAGTGTTGCCCCCAGGTTGAGCTACATCTCTTGGGTGTTGTGATCAGAACTATTTAAAGAGCTCCTGATAGCCTTGAACCCCCCTGACCATAACCCTGCAGGTGGAAGGAAGTGGCCATGGAGGACTGCCTCCATCTTCCCAGTTGGGCTGCTTCTATTTGCTTGTAGACTTGGGGACAAGGGGGATGGAGTCACAGTAGACAATTGGCACCTGAAATGTGGCAACTTGCCTTTTACAGGGGACTAATTACAGGATGTGAGGAGCAGCCGCTATTAAAGTAGCATTTGTTGTGAGGTTGAGGATTTATTGCCGTGCGAAGTGTGGGGGACGTGGAGCCAGGCAGCCCTCCGGAGCCCTGCAGGTCTCCCTGAGAGAGTGTGTCAGGGTCTGTTTTCTCCACTGCTGCCTTCTCCTCCAGGCCCCTTCCTTCCTTCATCCCCTCATCTCTGCATGAGCATTAGCTTCTAGGGTAACGATGACTATTTTCCTCCAGTTTTTCTTCAAGTGACAACCCTGACCTAGCTTGCGATAGGAATCTGTCTGCTCTACCAACATTGCTCCTCAGCTTCTTCCAATTTACCCCATTCCCTAAGGTCCCTAAGGCTGTTTTTGAAGAAGTTGAGGAATGAAAGGGGGGCTGTGCAGGGAGTAGAGAAAACCACATCTATCCTCTTCTGTGCAGAGAAGAGCTAAAGAAGTGGAATGGAATTGTTAACATTTCAATACTTACGAACTGATTACTTTCTTTAGTTACTATATCATGTACATATGTGTTTTGAGATAAAGACACATTTTATAGATTTACTTTGAATTCTAATAACGTTGTTTTCAACCGCATTTATCTGATAATGTCCATCTGTGTCTTTGGAAATGTTGCACGTTGGTTGTTAACAGTTAATGCTTATTAGCAGATGTTAGCATTTTCTAGAAAATGTTTTCTAAAAGAGCTCTTCTCTCTTCAGTGTTTATTCTTTAACTTGAGCTCTCGCATATGTCTGAGTGGCTCTTCTCTTCTACTTGGAACTGGAGATATATATATATATATATATATCTCCCTTTCAGACTCTGTTGGAGCTGTAAGCAGCTTATCTATAGCATGTTGCTATTTGTTGAATGAATGAATATCCAGCCCTCCTTTTAAAAACCTTTACTATTTTCTACTTTAAACCAACAAATTATTAAAACTCCATAATGAGCAGCCTTTGCCCCAGCTCCGTCTGTGTAGCTCCGGTGGAGACTTCTGACACCTCCTTTGGAATGGCTCTCAGATTGCCGTTTGGTGATGCCTGCGGAGCAGCGCCTGGCTTGGTCCTTCCCAGGCCTCATCCCCATCCTCATGGTGCTTCTTTCTGTTTCCACTCATTGACTTTCCCCTAGTGTCCTCACACCCCGCCACACCCCAAGCTGCGCGCACATTGAAACAGGAATGGCTATCATTCTCTTCACTTATATATTACCTTGCATCTTGCACAGGCACCAGCTCATTAAGCTGCACAGCGCTCTCACAGCAGGGAGGATGTGGCAAGTATCATTATCCCATTTCACAGGAGAGCGGTGAGGCACGAAGGGTCAGATTGGCTTGCCTAAGCTCATAGAAAGGGTCCGATGGAGAAGCCAAGCGTGTTTGCTTCACCTCTCATTGAAGTTCCTTAACGGTCATTTAAATTAAATATACTTGCCAAAATCTAACTCCTTACAGGTAAATTCTCTCAATGTTTCCTGAGGGCTGACTGCCAGGCGTGATGCTTGGTGCTGTCGCCTGTGGATCCCGGCAGCCCTCTGGACCCTTGCATTGCACCTTGCAGGAGGCCTGAGGACTCTGGGTGCCTTCCCAAGGTGCCTGGCAGGCGGCCAGCCCCAGCCTTCCTCTGTGGTGAGCCTGTTCTGAAGCAAAGAGAGCCTTTGGGCTCTGGGGCTTCTGTTCACAACGGTGAAATAACTCATCTCGAGTCACAGGAGACCTGTGACTCGGCCAAATTACTCACTATTCTGGGGCTCCTGACTACTGAGAGAAGGTGGGACCCAAGCAGAATGTTTGAGGGCAGCCATCATACGCTAGTAGACTTCTAGTTACCTCCCTGAAGGGGAGTGAACAGTAGCAAGTAAAACACCAGCAAAAGCCAGGACTTACTGAGCACTTCCTACCTGCTAGTTTGAGTCTCTGATAGACTTCAGCAAAACCCTGGGAAAGCATCCTGTTTCTTGCAAGGTAGAGTATGAGTAGCTTGAGAAATGGTGATTTTTCCAGGAACCTGACTTATTCCAGGTGGAATTCTTGCATAGTAGAATGATGCAGGAAATGGGGCGCTTGTACTGCAGGCCTGTCCATGGGCTGTGAAGAGTGAGCTGCTCCTCAGGTCTTACCTACTCATCTAATACAGTCTCACCTCAATTCCTTGAGATAGGTAGAGTGATGGCAGTGTTGTTTCAATTTCCCAAAACGTGCGGAGCCACAGGGCCAGCAAGTGGTGCAGTTGCGATTTGAGCCCAGGTCTGCCTCAGCGACAGAGCCTGTAAAACTCCTACATGTACACTCACATTATATTTTAAGCCTTGACTTGTTTATTCTGCAGTACTTCACTGTCTTAAAGTGGGCATTTTCGTAAACATTTTTGTTTCTGGCTGAGATCCTTCTATTCTGAAACAAAAACTGTTTTTTGCTGCCTGTATGGATGCTTTTGGTCAATGTTTCTTGAACTATTGTGTTAAAATTGTTTACTGACTCTTGGTCATAATTCTTCTCCGCTTTGCATTTCCAGGTCATTAAAACACCAATGACCAGCCAGAAGACGTTTGAGTCTCTGATAGACTTCAGCAAAACCCTGGGAAAGCATCCTGTTTCTTGCAAGGTAGAGTATGAGTAGCTTGAGAAACAGTGATTTTTCCAGGAACCTGACTTATTCCAGGTGGAATTCTTGCATAGTAGAATGATGCAGGAAATGGGGCGCTTATACTGCAGACCTGTCCATGGGCTGTGAAGAGTGAGCTGCTCCTCCTTTCTAGCTCGAAGCCATCATGGGGCCCAGCCGACTGTTGATGAGTGGCCGCCGTGTTTCTATAAATTGATTTTGTTACCCCATCAGCTGTAGCTTCTGGGCCCCAGGAGCCAGAACCACCCTGTGTGTCAGGCACAGCCTGATGGGCACGGGCATCCCAAACAGAACACCAGGGCTTCACTGCTGACAAGAGTACCACACGTGGTCAGGAGATGATGCGAGAGGAGCAGCGCACTCCGCCTTGGCCACGTTAGAAAGGCTGTTTCTCAGTGGAGTGTTGCGTTCTATTTTGTTTTCAGTGAGGAGTGTGGTAGAATGGAGAGCATGCCTCGGCCTTTCCCCTTTCTTAAGATATCCACTTATTAGCTGTAAAGCCACCCACTTGCTCCCCACTGCTTCACTCTGGTTACCTTCAGTCTCTCCATTTGTTTAGTTCTTTAGTGCTGCCCAAATTTAAGGACCACACTTCTGCATGACTCGACAGTTGTTTCTCTGTTTGTTTTTAACCCTCACCCGAGGATATTTTTTCCATTGCTTTTCAGAGAGAATGGGAGGGAGACAGAGCGAGAAACATCTGTGAGACAGACACATCAACTGGTTGCCTCCTGCATGCACCCTGATTGGGTTTCATGCCTTTGGCCAGAATTGAACCCGGGACCCTTCAGTCTGCAGGCCGATGCTCTAACCACTGAGCAAACCAGCTAGGGCTGACTTGGCAGTTTTTCTAAAGGGGCAGTTATGTCACAAAATGCCATTATAAATTTTTATAAATATCTCACTTGCTTTTTTGACCATAATTTTCTCTCTCACTGTAGTTCCTTCCATATCCTACTTTTGCTTTCTAAAAGATCCTCAAGTTTGAACTCACACTCATATTGTTCATGAATTGTCTGAGTCGTCTGACCATATGGGCCCCGGGAGCCAGAAAGAGCAGGCCTATATGTGCCAGTCCCCCGGCCCAGGAGTGTAGTGATTCTCATTTTTTTAACACTCATTTTTTGTTTGTTTAGTTTTGTGGTTTTAAATCATCTGGATTTTTTAAAGATCGCATTACTAACCAGATGTTGTGATTGTACTTTCTTACCAGTGTATGCTATGTTAGTGGCAGGAAGTAGTAATATGTTAGAAAGAACAGTGTGTGGCAAATCAAAGGCTGGCTAGGAACATAAGTGGAAGTGTGGGGACGAGCCAGTGATTATCTTCAGCAGCATAATCATTAACTCCTGGAGAGCAGGATCTGTCCTTCCACTGGGGTAGCCACAGTAGATGCAGGCATGGGAACTCTCTGGTCTCATAAAATTACCTTTGTTATATCATCTGGAACACTTTCTGTAGGCTAGACCTTAGCACTTCCCTTGAGTCTCTCTGGGTCCGTTATTCAGGCTCTTAGTGAGGCATCCAGACAATATAAGTAGCCATACAGAACAGGGGTCTACATGCTTTTATGTAAAGGGCCAGCAGTGAATATTTTAGGGCACGTGGTTTCTTCTGCAGCTTCTCAATCCTACTGTTGTAGCGGGAAAGCAGTATAGATAACACATTGCTGAGATGAATGAGGCTGGGTGCCAATAAATCTTTATTTAAAAAACCAGCTGGGGCCCGGCTGGTGTGGCTTAGTGGTTGAGCATCAACCCATGAACCAAAAGGTCACAGTTTGATTCCCAATCAGGGCACGTGCCCAGGTTTCAGGCTCGATCCCCAATAAGGGTGTGTGTAGGAGGCAGCCAATTGGTGATTCTCTCATCATTGATATTTCCATCTCTCTCTCCCTCTCCCTTTCTCTCTCTGAAATCAATAAAAAAACATGTTTAAAATAGGCCTGGCCGGGCGTGGCTCAGCGGTTGAGCATCGACCTAGGATCCAGGAGATCGGGGTTTGATTCCTGGTCAGAGCACATGCCCGGGTTGCGGGCTAGGCAGCCTATCAGTGACTCTCTCATCATTGATGTTTCTATCTCTCTCTCTCTCTCTCTCCCCCTTCCTTTCCTCTCTCTGAAATCAATAAAGATATGTTTAAAAATAATAATAATAAAATAAAAATAAAACAAAGCAAAAGAGGCTGGGGCCTGGATTTGGACTACAGGATTATATTGGTAATTACCAACACTTGACATAGAAGAATGGGATTCATGTGCCTGCAGTGTGTCTGTTTTCATAGTGAGACTTCATAGGGAGAGTGTGGTGTAAAAAGGTTAAGGCCATAGACTCTGAGCCAGCCTGACTGAGTTCAAATCTTGGCTCTCTGGCACTTACTAGCTGTGTAACCTTGGGCAAGTTGCTTAACCTCTCTGTGCCTCAGTTTCCTTTGCCTCACAAAGAGGTATTAATAGTACTTGTCTCACAGGGTTAATGTGATGAACAAATAAATTAATACACATATATTTTTAATCCTGACTGAGGATATGTTTTTATTGATTTTCAGAGAGAGAGAGAGAAACATCTATGTGAGAGAGAAACATCAGTTGGTTGTCTCCCTTAAACACCCCAACCGGGCATCGAACCTGCAGCCTAGGTATGTACCCTGACTGAACTGAACCCGCAACTGTTTTTGGTGTATGAGATGACGCTCCAACCAACTGAACCACCCAGCCAGGGCATGAATTAATAATATTTATAAAGTACTTAGAACAATACCAGGTACATAGTAAGCACAGTAAAGTATATTTAATAAATTAATAAAAGAGCATGGATAATGTAAGCTCTATAATTACATTAAATTAAATTGCTTTATTCGAGGACAGTGTCTCTTTACATCCTACTAACATTATGAGAGTGTCTGTCTTAGCATCCTCAATAGCACTGAATATTTTAATGGGGAAGAGCCTGTTCCCAATAATCGTATTGGCAAAATGCTGTTTTGTTCCAATGAATATTTTTTTGGTTAGTAGTATGTTTAAATATTTTGTGAGTTTTAGCAGTTTTCAAGCTCTTTACGTAGACAGTATTAACTCTGTGTAAAAGCTCTGTTTATTGCAAGTGAAGCAGATATTTTTCCCAGGGTGCTTTCTGACTTCTAATCTTGTATGTGGTGTGCTTCGTGTACACAGGTACCCTATCTTGAGTTTCTATAAAAACGTATCAAAGTTGAAAAGCATTTTTGCCCGTACTGAAGTTGAAAAGCATTTTTGCCCTGGTTATAAAATCATAGTCATGTTATTAATATAATCTTGGTTAAACTGATAAAGCTCTTTTGTGCCTCTGTGTTCCTGGGAGATAGGGGTAGGAGATGGTTTGAACGGAGATGCAGAGCCTGTGGCTTTGCTGCCCAGTGTGTACACATGCAGTCGGGTGAGCATTAAGAGTAGTGCAGGGGCTGGGCATCTTTCATTCAGTGTTTACCGATTGCCTAATGTGTGTTAGAAACAGAACTCAGGGCCAGGGTGAGGATTTCTGCCTGCAGGGAGATCACAGCCTTTTCTTCAGAGGGGGCGCCATTTACTTAACGGAGTCAGCTTCACATAAATACCACCAAAAATTGCCACTGCTGCCTGCCCCACCAGCCCCCAAAAGAAATCAGTAGGTGAATCCGCATCCCATACTTGGTCTTCAGAAGAGACGAGGAGGGTTTCAATGTGGAGGGAAAGAGTGGAAGGAGTCATCCAGGGTGATGGGTCCTAGGAGGCTTGTGTGAAACGCCTGTGGTCGGTTTCTTAGGTTGATTGTCCCAGAACCTGTTCCCAGCTCTACAGTCTCACACTGTGTGCCCAAGCAGGATAAAATCCTGAATGTCCCAGGAATTCTGAGTAGCCCAGAAGTGCTGCTCCTGGGAGGGTTGTTTGAGGCAGTGTTACTTTTTCTAGATCCCTAAAAGGAATGTGGGAGAGGAAAGAAGTAGAGGGGCTACCATTTGAGTGTAGGGCGATGTGCACAGCAAAACTATTTTCTGATATATCTTCACAACTTGTCACACAGAAACGATAACTCCCATTTCAGATGTTGAAACTGAGTTTCAGGATGATGCAAGGTCAGAGTATTTAGAACTTGAGCCGAGGTCCGCCTGCCCCCAAAGCCATGCTCTTCTGATGACTCCTTTTACCTGCCTTTATTTCAGGATCCATGCAGTGGAGGCATCTGTGGTTTTTTTTAAGTACTATAATTGTTGGATAAATTGTCACATAAGGTGGAAGTAAGGCTGTGCTGCTATTATAATACAAGTTTTGAAAATCTGTAGTTTCATATATATGGGTAACATAATCCAGGGTGAGAAGGGGCAACCTGGTGACTTCACAAAAGATTAAGTTCAATGAAAATTCACTTGTCTTATTTTTCTGTCGCCTAAAACAGGACACCCCTGGATTTATTGTGAACCGCCTGCTGGTACCATACCTCTTGGAAGCCGTCCGGCTGTACGAACGAGGTAGCTGTCCTGCGCCAGGCGGGAGCAGCAGGTCTGGGAGGCACTGCTCTCTGGGAGTCCCAGACAGGGTCTGCAGGGAGGGCAGGCATTGCAGAGCAGGGAAGGAGCTTCCGTTTCTAGCTGTGTAAGTCGGCCTCGTCTTGGGCCCTGGCACCTTTGTCACTGTGTTCCCAGGACCCCCTGGGTTCCCTATGAGGCCTCTGAGATGTGGCTCTGGGACTCTCCACTGTGGTCCCAGCCAAAGCAGTTCCACGGCCAGCCTGGATTTATATCCTGGACCTCTGCTTTGGTTAAAGGGTTTATTGCTTAGAAAAAGAGTAATAATGTGAAAATCACTGGGTTAGGTAACCTTCAGTTTTCCTTAAGGTTCTAAATTGTGGCTGTGTGATGGGAAGTAAGTCACAAGGCTGACGTGTGCCGAGGGCCATTTCTGACAGCCCTGTCCGGCCTCCTGACGATGCCAGGATGCAGGTTGGGGTTTGTTAACCTTAAGAATAGACTAAAATGTTTCCTCAACACTTGTTGATAGAAATATAAGACCTGGACCTGGTCCAGGTTATAAAATGTCATGTATCCTCCTGTCTGCTTTCCCCACCACATTTCTGGAAAGGTAACTATCATGTCAGCTTCAAAGGCAAAGAGGCCTCAATAGGACGGGGTAAAAAGCCAGTGTAATTGTTTTCAATTACTTCACAAATGCTTGCTCCTGAGAATGTCATTTTGAAACAAAACGTTTCTACCAGCTCTTCCAGAGAGATGAAAGCACATTTGCTTCCTCAAATTCTGCTTTAAATGTTAAAACTTTTCCCTGTTTCAGGGGAGCATTTGCCTCACTTTTACTCCAAGATCAAACCAACACTTCTGTGTTTATCTATCAACAAACACGCCTAATTACACCTCAGGAAGCGGGAAGTGTTTTGCCTGACCTTGAAAGGCAGGGTTGATTTTTGTAATGTGATGTGTTAGATGATAGCATGTGGGTGATCCACCTCCTAATGGTGTTTTTCTCCCTGGAACATACTGTCACTTTGATATATTTGCAAATGTGCCATGTATCTGATTGTAAGTTGAAAGTCATTTTCTTGTCTCTGTCCCCATTCCACAGCAGTGGTCCTTTTCTGAACAGATACATCCCTTTGACCCTCACCGCCACTAGTGGCTGGTGAGGTGAAGCTGGAAGGGGGCCTGACCCCATGGGGGAGGTCCTCTTAGTTTGCCTTTGATGCTGCCCTCGGCACCTGTCATTGCTGTCCCTCTGCCTCTCCCCCACAGCCTTCTTGGGGCCTGGGAGCCAGAGCATGTGCTTCTAGAGCCAGTTGGGTCATGTCTGGGGTGGGGGCTTTATCCCAGCAAGCCACACTGTGGTCTGGACTCCTCATGGCACACGTCGGGCTGCTTACCATGTCCCTGCTGCTGCCTCAGGGTTCTGCCCTCCTTCAGCCAACAGAGGTGTGTTAGATCCACACCTGCCACCCGTTTCCATTTGTCTGTGCTGAGTGGCTGGCTGATGTGCATCCATTCTACTTGGAAACCTGAAGACGTTTTGGATCATCCTTCTCTTGCCTATCACATCTGTTCACTTGTCACTTTTGATTCCTCCCTGTCACCCTAGCTCCCCTGTGCTAGTCAGCCTGCCCCAGAGAGGCTCTTCAGGCAGCAAAGGCATTCACACTGCCTCAAGCCTTTCCTAACTGGTCTTCTGTGCTATGCTTGCTGGAAGTGTCATGCTGTCTTGGGTGGTGAGGACACCGTGCGTGCTATGTCTGCCTCACAGCGGGGGAGCCTCAGGGCCCAGCAGCAGAGTCGTACAATGAAGACACTCTGACTCTGTGTATAGCACTGTCTTGGTCAGTTCCGTCTGCTGTAATAAGAATACCGCAGACTGGGTGGCCTGTAAATAACCAGTCTATTTCTCACAGTTCTGGAGGCTGGAAGTCTGAGATCAGGGTGACAGCACAGTTGGATTCTGGTGAGGGTCCAGTTGCAGACTGCTGACTTCTTGCTGTGTTGTCATGCAGATATTTCAGAGAGAGGAAACAGGCTTTTAGAAGGGCTCTAATCCCATTCATGGGGGCTCCATCCTCATGACCTCATCTAATCCTGATCACTTCCAAAGGCTCCATCCACCTTTTTGTGTCATTGCATTGTGGGGTAGGGTTTTAGCATAGGAATTTGGGGAACACAATCATTCTGTCCATCGCAAACACTGCTGATAGACCTGTGGTGTGCGTGCTCCATGCAGACGGGCTGGCACAGTGCTGCTTTGGGTGATGGAGGCTTGGTAGGAGGGTGGGTGGGGCATTACTGCAGGGGGTCACCTCAGTCATCATCCACTCAGGCCTCCTGGGCAGCTGAACAGCTTGCAGAAGACCGCAGGCTGCCACCAGTACTTTCACCAACTAACTCCCCATGGTGTCTCTAGGCACTCCACTGCCCCTCTCCTCTGCTCTCTGAGCCTCGGGCCATCTCAGTGTCCTTCAGCTTCCGCCCTCACTCTTTCTCTTGCTCATTCATTCCACACTATAGTTAAGGCCTGATTGGCGGCGTCAGTCACCCTCATCCCTGTGGGTCAGACCTCCCTCTCCATACCTTTGAACAGGCTGGTGACCCCATCAGTTGCCACTCTGACAGGTCACGTTGTGATAGGGCCACAGGTGACATCCTGGGAGAGCCATGAGCCTGCCCCCAATCATGTGATCTGCTCAGGACAGTGGTCTGTCGTCACCAAGGACAGTGCACTTGTCAGAGGGCCTTTATCCTCACTCCTTGCCCCGCCTTCATCTCCATGTCCCTTGCCCCACCTTCCCTACAGGCCCTGCCCAGGGTCGTCAGTGCTGCAGGCTGCGCCTGACCTGTGCTGTTATAGTGTCTTTACACTCTGGCTCTCCCAGGGGACAGTTGCCCCCTTTTCCTGTGGCATAGCAGGTGTCTTTCTTCTTCTGTACTCTTTGCTGTGATGGTATCCAGGTCTTCATCTTCATACCCCGCAAAGTGCTGGCACTCTGTTGCTGAGTAAAAGGAATGGCACCTGCTGTGACCCTGATTGTTGTTAATGCCAAGAGTGACTGATAGGTGGTGCTGATGAGCCAGCAAAAGAGCCCTGTTTGGGCAGGTCCCAGGTTCCCAAGCTGCAGAAGATCTGGGAGGTCTCTGAGGAAGCTTTTCCTTGTTGTCTAGAGTTAAGGGCTCTTAACTGGGGAGGAGGGTCCCAAAAACCTCCTAAGGCTGATGGAAAATTTTACATGTATGTACATTTTCTTTGGAGAGGGTGTCAGATTCTCAGTGAAGTGCTTTTTTATAAGGAAGGTTAGGAATTACTGGTCTAAAACACACCACCACTTTACCTCCCACAGGGCACACCAGTCTGTGTGTGTTTTATTTCTCTGCCTCTTCTTGCCTCTCTGGCTCTGTATTATCAGAATAGAATTTTCAGAGCTGTGCTGTAAAATTGTTTAGTGTTTTTTTTCTATGATATGCTGTCTTCATATTATTTTTTGAAGTAGTCAAGTGAGTCTCTGAATCTGGAATTAAAGTTTTGCCTGTAGGGTTCATTGCCTGTCCTTGAATATAGATTTGATTAAATGGCTGCTTAAGGTAAGTTGGAACCATTATGCTATGAGATTTCTGTCCCCAGGGAGCCTATATTCTAATGAGAGGAGATAGCCCCTAGTAAATAACCAATGGATAACATGTTAGGTTGTGACCAGTAATCTCTGAGAAGATAAAGCAAGAGGACGGCAGGACTCCTAGCCTAGAGTCCTGACAGTTACTAGTTTATATGCATGGAGAGAGATGGTGCTCTGAGCAGAGGCCTGCAGATGTCAGATGTCAGAGGGCGTTGGGCACTAAACACAGGGAACAGCAGGTGCTGAGCCAGAGGAATGTGCTAGGCTGTCATCCCAGCATTCCGGCTCTGACACTTAGAAGCCTCAGGGTTTAATGAAATTCTCTGAGCAGAATCTACCTTTTAGCTGCCATGTTTTTTCTCATTCCTCCCTTTACACATGCTGTTCCTGCTGCCTGGAATGCCTTTCCCTGCCTGCCTTTCCCTTGGGATTCTGTTCAGGATTTAGGACCTGGGCTTGGTGGTGTTTTGGTGAAGTCATGGTAGTGTGAGTAAACCTCTCCATCTTTGCCCACACTGCTGCGTGAATCTTAGCACTTGTTATGGTGAAATTTTTGGTTTACACATTTGAGTTTTCCCATTATGAGTACTCATACTTGAGTGCTCGTTTGTTTTCCTTCGTCTCGTTCTAAGTCTGGGTGCCTGGTACATAACAGATATGAATGCAAGTTGAATGAATGAATGAGGACACTCGATAAGGCTAATGTATATGCTCATTTTTGCTCTCTTTGCTTTCTTATGACCTGAAATTCAAACCATGATTCTCAGAATCCTCTGGTTGACTAATGAATGGACTACTGATAATGTCACTCTTATTAATTAATTGGCTGGTATTTTAATCACCTAGGACTGCCTTGAAATCCTCTGGCATTATTTCAGTACTTAATATGCTTTTTAAAGTCATCTTTATAGATGTTATGTAGTTCCTGTTTCTCATGCCCCAAAATCTGAAAGATTTAGGTATGAAATCTTCTGAGTATTTTAACATTTTAGTCTAATTGACTCTTTATGCTTTGGAACAAAATTCTAGATAGCCCCTTACTGGAGACTCTTCCCGTTTCCGATTTTGGGGAATTGGGGACAAGCTGTTCTCTGTAAAGACCACCTGAGGTCCAAGGACAGTATGTTAAGGATGAGATTCCAAGGAAGGAGCATATTGGCCCTTGTCTTGGTCTTCTCAACACATTTTCAAACTTTCATGGCAGTTCTCAATCAGGTTTGGGTCTTTTTTCGGTATTATCTTGACTAAAGGGTTTATGTGAATGTGATTTCTAGAGGAATACTCATTACTTGTAAAACCAAGAGAGCTGGAAAAGAAAAATATATGTACAATAAATACAAAAACATAAAGCTTAGTTCTTTTTTCAAAAGTCCATTTATCAATTAAATATCTACTCCAGCTTTAAATGTCATTTTAGTAAATTATTCCTGAGTTAGAAAATTCCAACCTGTTAGAAAGTATGTAATGTTTCCAGGCCACGGGGACTTTCTCTGTCCATGGGCAGAATTTCCAATAGAACAGCGTGGTGCAGTAGCTTTGAAAGTCTTGGGACCTGCTTGGCATGTACCTCTGGGACAAAATCTTACTCAAAACAGAAATCCTGACTCCCAATACGTTTTGAATGTGCAAGGATGGGAAACTAGTAATCCTGGAACTAAGGGCCTGGCGAGGAGAACTGGGGGGAAGATGGTAGTAACTCGGGGCTGCCCTCTCTCCCTAGGTGATGCATCCAAGGAAGACATCGACACCGCTATGAAGTTGGGAGCTGGGTACCCCATGGGCCCATTTGAGCTCCTCGATTACGTTGGGCTGGACACAGTGAAGTTCATCATGGACGGTAGGACTTGGGATTCTCTGTTTCTTTCTTAATGGAGTCAAGGTCGTCTCTCAGCTGTGACTTGCACTGCTGTTTAAAACAGAAATCTAAGGGGTCTTAGACTTTCCAAAGTCCTGCCCTCACTAGCTTAAAGATTCAAGCTAATAGATGGTAGGAAAAGGAAAAATGTGGCTGCCTAGTATCTCCTCACTAGTCAGGGCCCCTTTTTTATTTTTAACTTTTCACTTTGAAGTAATTATAGATTCACAGGAAGTTTCAAATATAAAACAGACAGGTCCTGTTTGCCCCCTTTCCCAGTATTGCCTAGCAGTTCCATTTTACACAACCACAGCAGAGACATTGGTGCCTGGTGCCCTCCTCGCACACATTCTGATTTGTATGACTGCTCTGCAATCAAGATACACAACTGTTTTTAAAATGTGCCCATTTTACTGTAGAGGCTCTGAGACTGTGAAAATAATTATTCAGATGGGACTACTGAGGTTGAGTAGCTTACACTGCCAAGTTCACAAAGAATACTTATGTGTTTGGGAGGAATGAGGAAGGTTCTACTTGAAGCATGAACTTTGCAATTTAAAGAGGATTAAGATAGCAGTGTCAGCGAATTCAGATGTTTGACGTGTTCTGAAGGTTGTTTGTGCCAGTGAGGGGTCCAACTGCAGGTGAACCATTGGTTTCAGGAAGGGTTTGGATAAACAGGAGCCAGGCCTCAGCAGCGGGGGTGGGGTGGGGAGGCAGGCAGCACACCTCCTTTGGGGCCTCGGGCTGCACCAGCTCAGCCTGCCTCTGCCTCCGCCTTGTTGTCCTGCGGGGCACCACGCCCAAGGGGCTCCCCCACGGCAAAGTGGGACGCTTCCCCTCAGGCTCTGCCTCTAGACTTGCCCTGGGAATGCCGAGATGTAAAAATAAACCCAGCACTTCATCCTGAGCCTGTTCCCCTCTTCTCAATAGGGTGGCATGAGATGGATGCTCAGAACCCCCTGTTTCAGCCCAGCCCGTCTGTGAACAAGATGGTAGCGGAGAACAAGCTGGGCAAGAAGACTGGAGAAGGCTATTACAAATACAAGTGACGTGCAGGTTCTCCGGCTCCGAAGAGCCCTGTGAGCTCCCACCAGCAGCTGCCCCAAGTGCCCGCGGGAAGGCTCCTGGGCCAGACGGGCTCCCTCCCAGCAGTCTCTCCGATACCGTTCTGATTGTAATCTTTCGGAAGTAGTTATTTACATGTAGCCGAGTTCTGCATTGAGAACCAACTCCCTTTTTTAGTCTGTTCATTTCTGTGTATTTTCTAAGAAGCTTTACACCCTTGGTGCCTTGGAGCAAGCATTTCCTTTGAACCTTGTCACTTCCATAATGCAGTGCCTGGATTCATTCACTTGTAGCGGGAGAGCGCTTCCTCCTAGAGCGTGTGGGCTCCTCGCTGCCACACGGGAGGTCACGGGCGTTGACTCCTCGGTGGCATCTCACCCTCCATTCCTGGGCGCATCATAGTGTCATGTCTCTATTCAACTCATCATCTGCACGCCGCTGCTGGGCTGGTGGGAACGTCCCACGTGCTTGGTCTGCAGGAGGAGGTTTCCTTCACATCCGAAATCCGAATGACTCTGGTCTCCCTCTGTCTTTTTCATGAGAAATCATTACTGCAAACTGCCTATAAATTGACTAATAAAATTCAATCTAATCTGTGAGAATTTGAATTGAAATGAACATGTATAATTTAAAATGATAATATGCTTAAATGGTTATAAAGTAAAGGTTGGTGATTTAGGGGAGAGCTGTGCCCCATCTTCTTTGGTCTGTGATATTTTTACAGTGGAGGTGGTGAGGGGGGGCAGTGGCAGGAGGTGCTTATGGGACCTGCCTGTAGCTGTCTCTCCAGGTTTCCTACCAGTAAAGCCATACCAAGGGCACAGAAAACAATTTTTAAGGAACATCTGTTTCTTTGCCAACAAAGAGAAATAATGTAACATAAACTTCTTTTAATCATTGTCTTGAGAAAGTGTCTTCCAAGATAGAATTTGGAAGCTGTAAAGACATCAGAAACCCTGGGGGCCAGTGACCTCATTAACAAAGACCCTGAGTTATGTGCCCAGGGTCACCAGAAATTTTGTAGCAGAGCCAGGATTAGAACTAGATTTTGATGATAAAATTAAATACAAACTAGCACATTTGGGAATTTTAAATCCAGACTTTCAAATGGCTCTCCCCAAAATGGGCATCCTTATTTGGTGCCCTGGGGCATAAGTATAATGGTTGAGAGATTGCCCCCTCCCCATTTCATGACTGACAAAGGGGCTTATTAATTTTCTTTCTTGAATCTAACTATAGCATAATAGGAACATAAATATGTGCATACATTTCTGCCCCACATCGAAGCTGGTTTAGGAAACTTAGGTTATTCTTATAAAACGTTTCCTAACGAAGAAGAGGAAGCACCTGTGACGCCACAGTGTTTCCATCACTGAAGGTCACCTTGTGGTCTGACAGTCCGGCTGCTCTCAGGCTGGCTCTTGACCTTTAACATGAGTCCTGCCTCTGGAGGGGCCTCATTTCCTTCCCACTTACTGGAGTGTCTGCAGGATGTGGGCCCTTGTCCTAAAAATGGCAGAGCTCGCTCTTGACCACTGAATTCCAGGGAAGAGAGAGAACTTGGCAATGTGACGGTCAGCCTATCAGGGTAGGGGTCTTTTTCTGGCTGAGGTTTTTAGATGTACTTTTAGCAAGTCAGAAAGCCTGGTCTCTGAACATTCTTTTATCATTTTCAAAAAATCTTTCCATGCATTGTGTGGGACCAGGAGGGAATTTTGAACATCCTCTTAAACACAGGAATTGAGAGTGGCGTCCTCAGTCCCACCGAGAGCTCCCTGGGAAGAAGGAAGGTCTCAGCAGTCAGGACCAGCTGTGGCCCTTTGCTGAGGTCTGCCCTGCAAACTGGACCTCAGGAGTCAACCCCAACGGTTAGGTCAGCAGCACTTGTCCAGGAGGAGCTGCGGGGCCTGACCTCACTGCTGCAGCTTCTTACCTCCCCAAACTCCTCCCAGCAGCCACCAGGATCTTTCATCAGATCTTGAAAGAAACTACCAGGTTTTAGGTCAAGAGGATACCTCCCCCTTCCTGTACTCCCTTCTTAGTGATATTCCTATAATAGAATGAAAATTTGAGATTAGAAAGAAAACCATACAATTGATGAAATAAATGGCTTGTTGAAAAACATTAAGTGAGCCTCTGAGCATGGCCATCACCCAGACTTCAGTTAGCAGGATGGCGTTCTCCGAAGAAAAGTTTTAATGCTTATGATGATGTCTTTGTAAAACAAAAACTGGCCCTTTAATGTTCCTAAGATTCACTGTTAATGACAGTTTCTCGGGGGGAAATGGTTGGCTAGCTTCTTTTGACATCAACTGTAAGGTGTTTCTAGTTTGGGGACTATTGAAAGGTGCAGCATGAGGCAAGGTGGGACCAGATCCTGGAACCGAGAAACGTATAAAATCGGGGCATAGCCTGGCCGGGCGTGGCTCAGCGGTTGAGCATTAGCCTAGGATCCAGGCGATCAGGGTTCGATTCCCCGTCAGGGCACATGCCCGGGTTGCGGGCTCGATCAATGACTCTCTCATCACTGATGTTTCTATCTCCCTCATCTTTCCTCTCTCTGAAGTCAATAAAGATATATTTTAAAAAATATAAATAAATAAAATCAGGGGCATAAAATGATTCCCCACCAGGTGTTATATAGTAAGGTTTCTGACTTGTTAACATGTCAGCTTCCAAAAGCTCATTTCAGACTCAACCACTAATTGACAGAAAAGATAGAACTAATGTGTTAGTCATGGCTTACACAGCACACTCGATGCTTTCCCTCATGGTTTTGAAGTTACACTTTTCACACGTTTGAAACAAGGTTTTGCCTTGTTCCCCCTTGATTTTATTTTTTTATTTATTTTTTATTTTTTAAAAAATATATCTTTATTGATTTCAGAGAGAGGAAAGGAGAGGGAGAGAGAGAGACAGAAACATCAATGATGAAAGAGTCATTGATATCGAGCCCACAACCCGGGCACGTGCCCTGACTGGGAATCGAACCCTGATCGCCTGGATCCCAGGTCGACGCTCAACCGCTGAGCCACGCCTGGCCGGGCTCCCCCTTGATTTTAATCCCTTTTGCTTTTCAACCTAAGTAACCAGTTAAGTCTACCAAAAACACAAGGTGTGACTCTAATTTTGTGGGACTAATTTTCTTGTAAACAGGCATTGATGCTACATGAATAGTAACCTAAAAAATGCTTGAAGCAATGGACGCGTTGCTGTTTTCAACCCGTTTGGTTGTGTAAATTCTATTTTAAAAATCAGCCTCAGTATTTTGTAATCACAGTTTTTATTTCAACAGCAGAACAAGTTTTAACTTTTGAAAGACAGAAATATCCCATCATTGATACTAATCCAGTGTTTTATTTAAAATCAGCTGCAGCTGTTGCAGAAATAAACAGTATAAAGATTAGTACCATGGGCTTTGGAATTAAACAGAGTGGGTTCTAGTGCTCAGCCCCCCTCTACCTGTGCAACCTCGGGGTCTGTCTTCTGGGTGTATCTGGTACAGTGGGCAGAACGGTGGACCCTACTCCGTAGGGCTGTTGAAGACCAAACATGATGGATGTCACGTGCCGAGCGTAGCGTTGCATGGTAGGCTAGTTGTGACCACCTCCCTCCTCTGCCCAATTCGGAGGGAAGCCACAGCTCACAGCCCGCAGGCTCACGGAGAGCCTGACCATTTCACACTTGGAGGGAGCTGAAGACTGGGAACAGGCCCATGAGTCTCGTAAAAGAGTCTTAAGCTGCGGGCCACCTGGGTAAAAAGGTAAGAGCTGGAGCTCCACACCCCCCCCCCC